CTTTGCATTCCTCAGAGGATATTACAATTGCACATTTTAAGGTATGTTTAATATCAATAATCTAGTATACCAGTTTGGAACCAAAGTACTCATGATTCAGATCTGGGAAATGATCTACCTGCAACCAAATGAGTGTGCATTTTATTTGGTGTGTCTTCCTGGTTACCTATCAGTTTTTTTCTCTCCATTCCACCTTGCCTCACTTTAACTACCAAAATACGTTAATACAACATTATCCTAATTGTTCAGAACAGGGAACCTAAACACTAAACTCCATAAGCCAAAATATATACATTAAAAATAAACTTTTAGGGGCGCCTGGGTGGCTCAGTCAGTTAAGCATCTGCCTTCAGCTCGGGTCATGATCTTGGGGTCCTGGGATCAAGCCCCGGTTCTGGCTCCCAGCTCAGCAGGAAGCCAGCTTTCCCTCTGCCCCTCCCCGCCCCCCGCCCCACTTGTGCGTGCTCTCTAATAAATGAATAAAATCTTTTAAAAAGAACACATCACTTTAAAAAATAAATTTTAAAATATATATGTATCTAAAGTTCACGTACTTTATTCCAAAAAGATGCAGAATTTATTTATTCCACTTTGCATTCAAGTGTATCAAGTATGATTCTTAGTTTCCCCACAGAAAACGTATTAGAAACAACTAATTAGAAGGTGATATCCTCAAGGTTTGCAAGAAAGCCAGGAATTTTAATCAAAAGTCGGAAATACTATTGAAACCAGATACAAGAATAAAAAGCACAATCACCTAGAATAAATTTAGAATACTCATTTCAATTGGGGGGGGCAGGGGCAGGGGAGGTGGGACAGAAACTACAATAGAGCCCGGAACAGTAACAGCTGTTCTCTATACTAAACCTCAATCATTTAAGAAAAGATTGAAGTCAGCCCATTTCAAGGGCACAGTAAATGTGTAATATATCCTAAAAAACTTCCATGAAAAATTGCCAAAATTTTACAAGTCTGGTCCCAGAGACTTATTTGGGAATCTTCTCATATCTGAACCTGTCATTGTCATTATTTCATTTTATGAATTTCAAAGGCAGAGTTTATGTTTATGACCTGTTCTTAAAAGAAAAAAAAAGCCTAAGTTTTTACTTGCATGACCCTCAAGCATTTTTTTCTGTGAGTTTCATCCAAGTAGAAAAAGAAATGGTTTCTTATTTGCTCGTTGAGATAAAGTGATCTGGTGCTCCCTTCGGCAGCACATATGCTAAAATTGACATAAAGTGATCTGGAAAAATTAGAACCATCATTCTTTAAGAACTTCAAATTGTTATGAAAACAGGATTTTTAATATTTAATAATCTTATGCTAAATAAAAAGAAAAGTATATGCCACAGCTTTTATTAACAAAGGTTTAAGACTACTGTAAAAATAATTAAAAGACATATTAAAAGTTGGATAAGAGGTCACAGTCAAAAAAACATTTCTAAAAGATTGGATTCACCTATGTAAGATGAAGCCAAGGTAGAGATGCAAATAACATAGTCGCAAGATCCACACAGGTGACAAAAATGAGTGAAGCAGGCCAAGTGTATTACCACTAGGAATGATACTAACTGCACTGACCAGTAAGCACATGCCCAGTCTAAAGAGGACAGCTACTGCTCTACCAACTCTGCTACAGACAATGGGAATGCAGCCCAGAAGAACCTGGGTTTCCAATTCTTCCAAAAAAAAAAAAACCTAGAAGTCTATGAGGAATTTCCCAATTTTTCAATGTTGATAACTAGTTGAAACCTAAAGACACTACGAATCAAACAATACATCTCTAAGGTGGTTCAGCCCAGGGGCCACCTTTAACCTAATGTGTGAATTGCTTTCAAAAAAGGTTGAGGGGACAATGGGTAAAAAGTTCAGGCCTTGAGGTCAAGCTAGCCTGGGTGTGAATGTCTAATTCATCACTTAGCAGGTGGATAATGCTAAAGAAATTATTTCTTCAAGCCTATTTCCTCAACTGTAAAATACCACCGCTTTCTCAATGTTGAAAAGTGAAACTCCTAACACAGTATCAGACACACAATAGACATCACAGAAATGTCCCTTACCGCCCCTCCTTAACCCTGCAAATCCTTTGGAAAATTTAAGAAATCAGATAATAAATAAACACCCTTGAAGATCTTAAACAAGTTATTTAAAAAAAAAAAAAATCAGAAAACAGAGGTGCCTGCTGTGCCCATTTCCCTCACCCCTGCTACTCAGAGAGGTTCTGTGTATACAGAAAAGATAGTTAATTTAGGGCATGGCTTGAATGGACTTAAAATGATACAATTAACTAGATTATCGATCTCAAATTAAAAAGATGAACAGGCAGAACTCCTTAAAGATAAAGACAAATCTGTCTCTTATTAACTTCATAGAACCTTATTTGCTGGTAGAAGTGAGAGAAATCGTTTAAGCTTAAGCTTTAATACTTTTAATACTTTTGTTTAAACTTCCAGAAAACTTATTTCTAAAGAATGCATGGTACAAAACAAAGGATTTACGCCAGATTTTTAAACATAAAAAACATGACAGACTCTAAACTTCATTTTATGTATGATTTCATCAAACCCAAGTACTGTCAGATTGAATTTACTACTAGAACTAAAATATCTTTCGACCTCTCAAACATACCAATTAATTTTTAAAAAGAGAAAAGACAACAACTCTCCAAAATATTTGTGTTAAAAAGTACTATGCACATGTACATAAAAAATATTTGGGATATATTTACTTAGAATAGTTCCAATAAATTTCTAATATGGCTACAAATAATAAAGAAAAGCAATTTTATGTATACATATCTATATAAACACTTATTGAACTCTGCAAATTTTATGGTATCTTCCTACATATACAACAGACTGGGGCATGTGCTAGAAATCAAAGTTTAATGCGTGTGCATTAGGAAAGTTTAAGTTTCAGGAAGCAACTAAGGCAACTAAAATCATTTATTAAGTACATAAAAATGGTCTATACTTCAAAGTTAAATCCATATTTCCACTGCAACTTCTCCTCGTCTACATAAACATATTCATTTCTTTCATGTTAAAACAAATTATATTCAATTTGAGTGTATTCTATTCTACATATCATCATATAAACTTCTTACAAACTTGACCATATAGTTCAGACTCATTTAAAAATAGTATATATTACAATAAAATTACAAATATCTCCAAGTACCCAAAGGCTACAATCTTGATGCTAATTTTAAAATGAAAGTTTCTTAGTGTCTTTATTTTAAAGTTCTGCTAAAACATGAAAAAGTACGTAGCCTTTTAATGTTTAATGCAAAATGATACTTTATAAATGACTCCAAAGTTCTGAATTTAGATTTTTGTGTACCAAGGGTGTTAACCCACAAAAATTATGCTGTTAATTTACTTTTTCTTCAACCATCAGGCTACACCAATTTATATTCTTATTGTTTCACACTTAAAAACAACGGTCATTTTATATACAACCACTCCTCAGTAATTTACAGTACCTCATGTGTTTGTCTTACTTTGTACCTCATAGAAATCAAGAGTCTAACACCTGACTATAATCATAAATAGTGGTAAGAGACAGAAGAAATTTGTCGGAAGCCACATTCTGCACATAAATACAAATGTTATAAAAGGCCCTTATAAAGGGTCTTTAGCACACGATACTCCTTTAAACTAAACATCTACTAGGAACTCTTAATCTAAAATGTACATCTAGCAAATGAACACCACAAACTACAACAAAAGTGTACCTACAAAGCATCGTTCTCGGACTAAGTAGAACTCAGGACAAAAATACGCTTGGCTCTGCAATCATAAGTTAAAGCGACAAAGAACAGAAACAATACACTACATAAAATATACAGTGTTCTCTAAATTACCAAATCACACTGTCCCATCGGAAGCATTCCGGTAATTTTTTCAATTCAATGATTTTAAACAAACTTTGCGGTTTTTAAGTATACTTTGGGGCAAGACAAAAACTTTACCTAAAATAAAGCACTTTACACAACAACAGAATTATGAAGCTGGTCCTAGGGTCATAAAAAAATCGTCTTCAAAACACGAGTAATCAAGAAATTATCTGCTTACAGTAAATTTAACTCCAATTTGCGGGGTGGGGGAGTTGCCACCGTCTGACAACCCACTAACTACGCTGTAAGTCTACTCCACCTGAGAGCTTAAGAAAAAAGTTGGGTCACCCAGGGACTTGTCCATCTAAGAGACCCAATCCAAACAGATCAAACATCCCGGAACGCCTTACTTTTCTCCCCACCAAACCCATTCCCCTGGGCAACAGAATGTTTTCACTGACCATAAACACACCCTCCTGAGAGCTCTCTCCACACACTCGGGCAGAGGCAGGGCACTAAAGAGAGCGGAAGCGACTCGTCTCAGACAGCAGAGGACCACTGTTACCCCTCCACGGGCGGCCCCTCTGCAGAACCGGGTCAGTCTGGATCGCCGCGCCCGGTAAAGAACAATACACCAGCCCAGCCGCAGACATCTCAACTTCCCACGAGCCTGCGCGGCGGTTCCCCGCGGTGGAGCGGGCTCCGGAATCCGCCACCGGGCAGAGGCTGGGGGCGGAAGGAGGGAGGTAACGACCGCCAGCCCCGCGGCGGCAGCCCGTCCCGGCACCCGGCGAGCAGGTTGGAGGTATGGAGCCACCGGCCTGGGTTCCACGGCTCACGCCCGGCAACTCGGATCTCCCCACTGCTTCTCTGGGAGGCGACCCCCGCCTCCCCTGCCGCCGGGGCAGTGGGGGGCGGGGAAGGCCTCGGCGGAGGCTCGGAGCCTCCTTGGCCCGCCACGGAAGGGAACGCGGTCGGGGCGCGGGGGACAATAGGGAGCGGGGAGCGCCGCGCGCCGGAGTGGCGCCGCCGGCCGGCCGGGCTGACTGACGCGCCCGCCGCGCGGCGCGACTGGGCTCCGCTCGACCCGGCCGCCGCTGCCGCTGCCGCCGCGCGGTCCGCCGTGGTCAAGGCGTCCCCGGCGCTTGGGGTCGTGCCTCACCTCCCAGCCCCGCCGCCCAGGAGAGGAGCGGAATTAACACTCTCAGCAACACCATCTTCCGCGGCCGCCGCCTCCTCACGGGTTAACCGCAGCACATCGATCCGGAGGGAGAAGCTGAAGGGGCTTGGTCCGGAGTCTCCACGGGAAGCCGGGACCTCCCCCGGCAGGAGAAACGGCGAAGCACCTCCCTCTCGCTCCACTTCAGGGGCCGGCAAAGCTCCCAGCTCCTCCAAAACAGGGACCTCCCTCCCCCTCGTTCGTTTCCTTCCTCCCTTCCCCGCGTTCCTTCCCTCGCTCCTTCCCTCTTCTCTACCTCCCTCCCCCGAGCCCGGGACCTCCGCCTCCTTCCTCACCACGTGATGCGCGACGCCCAACCGGCAGACCCAGCCGCACCCCTTCCTCCCGCCCCTCCCCCTCCCCCAGGCTCCCCAGGGGCGCGCGCATGCGCACGAGGGCCGGTTCCCCGGCAGCTGGGCTCGCCGCCGCTTCCTGTCCGCCGGCGGAGAGCTGGGATTGGGTTTAGAAGGCGGGGTTTCCCCTGGTCCCGCCCCCAAACGGGAGCGCATCTCCTCAGAGCAGCGCCGGCTCGCTCGCTAGTTCTTAACGACTGCTGAGGACCGTCCCTAAGACGAAAATGGGAGAGTGAAAAGATGTAAAGAGGCCGCTTTCTTCTTAACTTCACAAGGAAGGGAGATTTTTATTTCTTCCTTTTCTGTCTCTGGTGGTGCACGACAGCAACCAAATAAACGAAAGCAAAGTCCCAACAAGCGACAGCCACCAGTGATCAAACAGATGAAAAGACCTTCAAACCCCAGAAAGGAAAGACAACAGCCTGTGGCATTTTTTTTCCTGAATTCTTTAAAAATTTGTCGCAGATCAGGCTTTGGCCTTTCTAAATGCCCGCAGTTTAATCCTTACGGTCCTAAATCTCCTGCCCAAAATATGTCCTCTTTACCACTCTCTTTTTTCCCTGCTCTGAAGAGAACTGCACCCCAACTTCTTTGAAGCTCACGTTTGGTTTCTGTTTGGCTTCTCAGTAACTCACTTTGGTTCTTCAGACTCGTATTCCTGGATTAAAGACTTAAACATAGGACCTGAAATTGTAAAATTTCTAGAAGCAAACTGGAAAAAAGCTCCTTGACATGGGTCTTGCCAATGTTTTTTTTAATATGACACCAAAACCACAAGCAACAAAAGCCAAATAAGTAGGACTACATCAAACCGAGAGGTGCACAAGGAAAGAAGCAATTAGAGGAATGAAAAGGCAACATACACAAGGAGAGAAGATATTTGTAAATCATATATCTGAAAAAGGGTTAGTATCCAAAATATATAAAGAACTTATACAACTCAACAGCAAAGAAACAAACTAACCAATTTAAAAATAGGCAGAGGACCTGAATAGACATTTTTCCAAAGAAGACATACAGATGGCCAAAAAACACATGAAAAGTTACTCATCATCACTAACCATCAGGGAAATGCAAATAAAAACCACAATGATATATCACTTTGTATCAGGATGGCTAAAATAAAAACTTAAATAACAAGTGTTGGTGAGGTTGTGGAGAAAAAGGAACCCTTTCTGCACTGTTGGTAGGAATGCAAATTGGTGCAGCCACTGTGGAAAACAGTATGGAGGGTCCTCAAGAAGTTAAAAGTCAGAGTGCCTGGCTAGTTCAGTCAGTAGAGCTTGCAGCTCTTGATCTTAGGAGTTGTAAGTTAGAGCCCCATGTTGGCTGTGGAGATTACTTAAAAATTTTTAAAAATCTTAAAAAAAAGTTAAGAATAGAATTACCATATGATCCTCTAATTAGACTAGAAATGTATGGAATTGTTGAATCATTATATTGTATACCTGAAACTAATATAACACTGTATGTTAATTATACTTGAATAAAAAATAAATTTTAAAAATATTTTTGAACAGGCAGAGGAACTAAATAGACACTTTTCCAAAGAAGATATCCAAAGGGCCAACAGTGCGACACTAACCATCAAGAAAATGCAAATCCAAACCATAATCTTCACTATTAGAATGGCTATCATCAAAAAGACAGGAGATATAAGTGTTGGCAAGGATGTGAAGAAAAGGGAACCCATATGCACTGTTGGCAGGAAGGTATATTAGTGCAGCCACTGTGGAAAATAGTATGGAAGTTCCTCAAAAAATTAAAAATAGAACTACCATATGATCCAGCAACCTCACTTCTGGGTATGCGTCCACAGGAAATGAAATCAGGATCTTGAAGAGATAACTTCACTCCCATGTTCACTGCAGCATTATTCACAATAGCCACAACATGGAAACAAGTGTCCCTCCATGGATGAATGGATAAAGACGTGATATATATACACATGTATGTATGTATGTATGTCTATATATACAACAGAATATTATTCAGCCCTGAGAAAGAAGGAAATCCTGCCATTCGCCACATCATGGGTGAACCCTGAGGACATTATGCTGAATGAAGTAAGTCAGACAGAGATCTGATACCGTGTGATCTTGCTTATATATGGAATCTTAAAAAAGCTAAATGCTTAGAAACAAAGAGTAAAATGATGGTTATCAGGGGCTGGGGTGTGTGGGAGGGAAATGTTGGTCAAAAGGTACAAACTTCCAGTTATAAGATGAATAAGTTCTGGAGCTCTAATGAACAGCATGGTGACTATAGTTAATAATACTGTATTATATACTTGAAAGTTGCTAAGAGAGTGGACTTTAAATGTTATCACCACAAAAAAGAAATGGCAATTATGTGAGGTGATGGAGGTGTTAATTAACCCCACTGTGATAATCATTTTGCAGTATATGTGTATCAAATCAACACATTATGCAACTTAAACTTATACCTTGATGAAGCTGGAAAAAATTGAAATTAAACAAAAGTACACGATTCAGTAGCATTTAGTAAATGCACATTGCTGTACAACCATCACCACTATCTACTTCCAGAACATATTCATATGGCAAATAAGGGAGGAAAAAAACTTGTATTTCATTAACTAGAAACTCCTGGTGGCATTTAACTAGATATTCTTTATCTATTTGGCATCCTGTTTGAATAGGCTGAATTAGGGAATATAAGTATTAATAGTATCATTACTAATAATAAATTGGAATTCCTATACTTTTTATTCTGTATATTTTTTAAATTTATTACCCTTTACATAAGTCAAGAGTATGCTTCTTTGTCAGTTTGACAAATGAATTATTATAGTTTTGCTCCAACATTAATAAGCTCAAAAATACAGTCAGTAGTTCCAAAACCATCATTAAAAGCATCCATTTATAATGAGATGTATGGGATTATTAAAAGATGGCAGATTCTCATGAATTTTTTTTCCTTTCTTAAAAGAGTTATATGTAAACATTACGTTGCCTATCACCTGTGCTAGTTACTGTTCTCTTTTGGTGGTGTAGTCAACAAATTATATTTTGATTTCTAGCTATTAGACTAGCTTGTGGCATGTTTTGTGTAGCACAGTATTTTTATAATTAATTATACAAAGTTAATTTTATATGATTAATTAATTTCATAATTATATTTTAAATTAATTTATTTATAATGGTTAGAGGCAAATGACACTTTCTCTTTAAATTCAGCTGGAGGGCCCCTCGGTGGCTCAATCGATTAAACATCTGCCTTTGGCTCAGGTCATGATCCCAGAGTCCTGGGATCAAGTCCTGCATCAGGCTCCCTGCTCAGCGGGGACTCTGCTTCTCCCTCTACCCTTCTGCCCTACATGTGATCTCTCTCTCAAATAAATAAAAAATAAATAAAATCTTTGTATAAATAAATAAATAAATAAAAATAAATTCAAGTGAAAAAATCACCAGGATGATCACGGGAAAATTACACTTAAGATTGTATTTCGTTTTATTTTATTTTATTTTTTAAAGATTTTTTTGAGTAATCTCTATAGCCAAGCTGAGGCTTGAACCCACAACCCCGAGATCAAGAGTTGCACACTGCACCAACTGGGCCCACCAGGCACCTCACCTTTTTATTTAAAAAAAAACATAAATACATAACATACCAGCTTCATAATGGATGGTATTAAAATGTCACAAGTTTGGACCGCTATTTTGTTTGAAAATTTAACTTACCACATTCTGGGTATTTTGCCGATGTATGGGAACCTGATGGTTTATACCATCATAGACTGCATGGGGTTGGCTCCCAGCTCTCCCATGTATAAGCTGTGTAGCTTTGGCCAAATTATTTCACCTTTCTAACCTCAATATTTCTTTATAAGAGAAGAATGATAAAATATTTGCCTCACGGGATTGTTTTGATGATTAAATTTAAATTAGGTTAACATTGTAAGGTGGCAGGTAATAATTGCTATATAAGTGTTTGTTTGTAAAAATATATAAATATCACTGTCCTTTCATGAATACTCAAACATCCATTCAAAAGCAGCAATTAGGAGCGTCTAGGTGGCTCAGTCGTTAAGCGTCTACCTTCTGCTCAGGTCACGATCCCAGGGTCCTGGGATCAAGTCCCACATCAGGCTCCCTGCTCAGTGAGAAGCCTGCTTCTCCCTCTCCCACTCCCCCTACTTATGTTCCCTCTCTCACTGTCTCTCTCTGTTTGTTAAATAAATAAAATTTAAAAATTTAAAAAGCAGCAACTAATAGGATTATTTCCTTAGCAACAATACACAGCTTTGATACTACCAGTATAATAAAAGTTATCCTCATGCTACAATAATGAAAAATTTGGCTAGGAAGTGTATGCTTGTAAACAGAATATTACACAAGTAATACTACATGAAAATGCTTGCTGCACAACATAAGCCAATCCTGGTAAATGTTTCAACAATTACATTTTAAATTTCCAACTTCTAATAAACTGCCTTCTCGATGTCTCACTGTCATGCCAAATTCAATATGTTTAACTTCCTGTCTCTAATAATGGCACCATCACTCTCCCCAGTAACCTGACATGGAGAGTGGATTCATCATAGACTCTTCTTCCCTTGTCTATTCATAACCAGTCACCGTGTGTTAATTCTTCCCCTAAAACCTTTCTTGAGCCTTTAATCTTTCCCTTCCCACTACTGTCACTCCAGTTCACAAAATTTCTTTTGCTTACACTGCTGCAGGACTTCTAATCCATCTCACTTCAGTCTGCCGCTGGAAAGCATTGCAGTGCAATGGTCTCTCACCATTGGTCCTCACACAATGCACTGCAATTTGCTTCCACCCCTCTCATTCCTAAGAAGCTACTCTTGTCAGCATCATCAAAGATCTGTTAGTTATCAATGCCACTGTACACCCACAATCCTTATCTAACTAGATCTCTTGGTCAAT